AAATATCAATTTCCTAAAAATAATTTAAATATTAAACTCTAGTGACATGATCTAAGATAGATATTTTACTTCAATTGTTGATAAGTATTTAATATTTATAAGTGCGTGGGAATTGTATATTTATTATTACTTAAAAATCCGAACTTTATTTTTATCGATTCTGTGCTTTAATTATTACGTAAGTTACATTTTTCTATGGGCAATTCTAGGATGGCTCAATAAAAATGGTAAGATAAAACATTATTATTAAGAAGTAAAAATTAATCTGTCAAACTGGGCAGCGAAGCCGCTCACAGTGCAATCTCTAGTTATGATTACATAAAAATAGATCTATTTACTTAGAAGCACGATTAATAATTTATGAAGCATTATGATTTCACTGGTTGCTGAAAAGGTAAACCCTTTAATCAAGATATACTTGATTATTTGGTTCATCACTTGATGCTTCTCGTAGAGCAAAATTGTAATTAGGATAGCCATATCTTTTAACAATAAGAACTGCTGCAGCTGATAATATTATAATCCCTGCAAGTGCACCAAATGAGGTACCAATAATTGTAACAACATTACTATTAATGCTAGGTTGCGTAACATTATTATATAGTGAAGAGTTAGAAGCAGTCGATGGCATTGGAGGCGGTTGTTTGAATTGCTTGGTAGGGTCATATGAAGTAACCCATTGATAAACATTTTTTTGACTTACATCAAGAAGAAAAAAATTATTTGTACTATTTTTTCCTTGAGTATCTAAAAATTTTTATAAATTATTTATTCGTAAATATTAGACTCAAATTATAATATTAATATCATAATATTTTATTTACTTACCAAATGCGCCAAATGCAATAAAAACATAAGCTCCAATCAATATTGAAGTAAAACGCCTTAAACCTGCAGTAGGGCCACCAATATTTTTAATTGTAGGAATTGACCATTCAAATTTTACTGTATCAAGTGCCACAATTGGCATATTTAAAGAAATTGGATATCCATAAAGTATTAAAATTTGATTATATTGAGCTAAATATCAATATAAAAAAAGCAAATATTGTTATCAGTATAATAATCTAAAAATAAAATAAGGCAACACATGAGCGTTATGGGACTCTGCAGAATGGATAATGTACCATTATCCTTTATTATGAGGGTCTGCAGAATTTGCCAACAGCCATTTTGCCGACTATCTACCTCTAACTATAAATTTGTCGGCAAAATTAGTTTATATCATTGCGGAGTTCCCATATACGGCTAAAGTGCGCATTTAAAGAAATTCATTTAGAGAGATTATTACAGTACTTACGTATATAGACAGCACCATGGTCATAACGTGATGGGGGAATATCTCCTGATGTAGCCTAAAAATAAAATTAACAGAATCAATTCAAGAATATCAAGATTACATAAACTAAAGTTATTAAGCCAAAATTTGACCCTAGTAACTTACGATCAAACTCCAAGTGCTATTATTTATATTGTATATTGATAACTATTTGATTCAATTAGTATATATATAATTGTGAAGAAAAATTGATAAAGAAATAGATGTAATAAATCAAACCTTGTCAAATGAAGAATAAGGAAGTGTTTGGACATCACCACCTGGTTGACCTCCAATATACAGTATAGATGAATTGTTAAAAAGTATAGCGCTATAACTTTGAATACCAATAGGTGCTACTGGACCAGCTGAAAGTTCCGTCCAATTTGCATTTGACGTATCTAATATAATCATATCATATATATTTTCAAATCCACCATAAACATATACATCATTTCCTGAGACAACGCATTGAATAAGTTTTCGATTTGTTGTAAAATTTTGTGAAGATTTTGGATTGCTCCATTGTTGTGTTGTAATATCATATAAAGTAGTAAAATTGTCTCCTACAATAGTATCACCACCAATATAAACAATTTGATTCTTATTCTGTCCATAAATACAAGCCGTCGAGCTAGTTCTTACTGGTAAACCCGCGGTTGGTGTAAGATTAACCCAGGGCATTAATGATATGTTGGTTATAGTAAATGATTTTGAAATATCCAGATAAAAAAAATCCGAAAGTTCAATACGTTCACTAATTCCACCATAAAAGTAAATTTTATTATTAACGAGAACAGCAGCTTGTTCTGCTCTTGACGAAGGAGCAAGAGTATTTACAAAATTAATAAAGAAAAAATAAAGATAAAAAATGATTATTATAACAAAAGATTTAATCATTTTATCCCGTTCAGGACATAACTATCCTACATACATATATGATTTTTAAAACCTGTAATAAATAACTTGAAATATAAGATCATTTTGTGTTAATTGGACTACTATACTTTACTTATTTGTTACGAATTGCCAAGAATATACGAATAAAAACAGACAAAAGCGAAAATTTAATTAAGAATAACGAGAATTTAATTTTTTCTACATACTAAAAATGATTATTTTCACATAACCTTTAATTTCGTGCATCCTAACTTAAAATCTTTTATTTCGCATTTATAGTTGGTGGTAGGATTAATTTGGTAAATCAATACGTTTACGGTATGTGCCGTAAATTAACGCCGTAACGCCGTAATGCAGTTACACCATAATGCCGTAACGCCGAAATTTCGTTGTCGAGATACCGTAATGCCATTGTATCTAATATTATAATGTACATTTCTGATATTGTGATAAACCGTGATACTACATAGACATTGGGTAACATTCCGTTAGTGTTATAAAGTAGGAATGTTAAATGGTTCGTCTGGTCCGGTCTGGTTCCTAAAAACTAGTTAAGGACGAGTTCGCCCACTGTCAAAAACCGATCTTACTCTAATTGATTAATATAAATATGAAAGTTTATGTGGCGTTAAAAAACATTTACTAAATTGATTTAAACCTACCGCTACCATTTAATAATTCTAGAAACAATTGGTGAATTTTTAAAGCGAAACGCCGAATTTAATTATAGCTATATAAAAAGCATTGTTTTTGATTCACTCTATATAAATCTATTTAATTGTGTCAAAACAATACTCAATTCGTATCAAGTGAGATCTGGACTGATTTGAACTAGCCCTAAAAAGCTCGGTCCAGACCCGGTTCGAACCCGTTCCCGTGGAATCACCTAGTTTAATTTTTAAACAAGATATATACTATATACATACTAAAATAAGGCCGGTGTTTCATTATTCACTTTCTTTTATTATTAAAATGATCTTATTTTGAAAAAGGTCAATTTAAACGAATTGATTTCACTAGCCAATTAGTGATTATTAATATACGAATTCAATGTTTCGTTATAAACTTCCTCATAAACATATAGCGCATATGTAGTATGGTAGCAATTAACAAAATTTTAAGACATGCACATATATCTATATTATTATCTGATAGAAACCATAAATAAAGATTATAATCTGACAATGATATTGTGCTTATCTATTAGTTATTATCTGATCTAAATCATAAATAAAGTTAATATAATCTAATAATGATATTGTGCCAGATCTATCAGTTCATCAAAGCTTTTATTAAGCACAACACAAATAGTTTAAAATGATTTCCTTTAAGGCAGATTAATAATAAATGGACATTTTTTAATATTGTGTGCAAAGCCGGTGCGCGCAATATAACTTATTATGTAAATCAAAACCATGCGTACATATTAGAGGTGTAAGTAGACTGGGTCTAGTCCTGACTTTTTAGGGACTAGTTCAGAACTTGTCCAAAACCAGTTAATTCTCACTTGATATGAATAGATTGTCTTTTCGATAGATTTTATCGTTATATGGAGTGAATCAGGAGCAATGTTTTTTAAAATAACCATAATTAAATTTGGAGTTTCTCGCTTTAAAGATTCACTGTTACTAGGATTAATAAGTACTTCAATTGGTATGCTTATTTCTATTTTTTTTTTTAACGCCTATAAAGTTTCAAATTTATATTAAGCCGTTAGATAAGACCAGTTTATGAAGGGTAAAGGTTTAGGACCAGACTTTTTAGGAATCAAATTGGTCCGGACCAGACGAATAGCTTATTCCATTATTTTGATCTGACGCAAAATTTACAACAAATTCATCCAATTTTGGTTTAGTTGCGACTGCGTCGCGCTGATATTTATTTGTTATTATTAGAGATGATCGTCGTATATTATAAACATCGCATTGTTGTGGAATTTAAGATTTTATTTATCTTACTATATTTGTGTTAGCGTCTTGTTATTAAGTGGCTACACATGGATTTGAAATCCAAGAACTGGGTTTGAAATTCTCGACGATGGTTTGAGACGGGCTCTAAAGCCTGAATGCTGGTTTGAGACCCAATATTTGAATTCGAAACCCTTCGAAACTATAAGATACCCAAATTAATAAAGAAAGTAGAGAGATATATAGATAGATAAACGGATCGTTCTGCTTGAGCCATAAATAAAAAAGTAAATTAATATTCCATTAATTGCCAACTAAACTATTCTCTTTAATAATAGACAATCATCGCAAAACTTATGTGTACCCGAAGCTAATCTACAAATACACGTGCATTGCTCTCCCGACTCAGGCACAACAACACCTGAACGTGAGTTTCATAATACGTACACATCACGCTGGTTATACCGACATCTATAACGACAACATAGTAAAATCTTTCCATACTGACATTTTTTTCTCAAAATTTAAATATAAAATATCGGTATACTGTAATTCACTATCGACATTTTGAATTTTTTTCTAATGAAAAAAAATTGTCGATACAGCCAGAGTAACATGTATTACAGCATATAATATTTATGCCAATTAAATACTTGGTAAAATTAATTTTACCATAGGCAAAAAAATGGCATAATGCCATATGCCATAATTCAGTAATTCTACTACCAACAATACTCGAATTCAGGTAGTCATGTAATTTGTGACAAATAAAATTTTAGCTTCAATTTTATTGAAGAATGGTTTTATCAAAAGGGTTTTATTTTTTATTGCACCTACAATATATTGCACCCTACTATATCTTAAAATTTTACTAGGGTAATCACTGTTGTATAACTAATGAAAAATGATCCTCTCCCGATTTTACCTAACCCCAACCCTAACCCGAACACTAACACTAACCCTAACATTAACACTAACCCTAACCCTAATTATTATAGAGGTGCACCCTAACTTTAATTATTATAGGGGTGCAATGTATTGCACCGTGCAATAAATTATAAAATCCTTATCAAAATATAACAGTAAATTTAAACGTTGCCATTACCTAGTAATCAAATTTATATTTAATTTTTAACCAGTGATTGTATAGTAATAGGTGAAAGGTAATGAAATGGATGAGTTAAATTTGTTTATCGTATGCATAAAGATAATTTGGACCTCAATAGTATTAAAATTCCAGCAGGCGAAACTTCAGAACTTTTATTAGTTAAACTTTGCTATAATCTGAAAACTTTAATAATAACCAAATAGAATATTCGGATCATTTATTTATTGGATTAATAGTAAAATCTGTCGGTCATCATTAAATTTACAGCAATAAGAAAGTGAATAATGGATCTAAGTTTTAATTTAATAATCATATTAAAGATGTCTTCATTTCCAGCTGTCTTTTCTCATATTAAATAACAGATCCTGCCTTACTTTATAATTTAATTTTTCAACAATCCAATCTAAATAATAACATTAGGGGGTTTCAAAGTTAAAATGCGGAAGTCCAATTTTAATTGAAATTGATGACGTATTTATTTTGAAATAAGTGATCCGGCAATCTGATCTTATCTTCAACTTGA